CTTTTTTGTTTTAACAATAAAGTTTAATAATTGGGGATGATTTGATAGATAGGCCATGGTTTGTTTTAGTTGTTTGACCCTAGTCGACAGTGGTTGTATTTCAATGATAATTGTGAATAACAACTGTAAATTATTTATATTCATTATCAGTTATCAATTATTAAATAAATTTTAATAGTTAAACTAAATATTATAGTTTTAAATTACATCATCTGTTTATTTTTTATTTTTAGGGATAAATTTTAAATAATAATTTAACATATTATCTAAATAATAATTAAATTTTTTTGATTAATTAAAAATATTCAAAAAAAAACTTCATATAATTTTTTTCAATTATTATTTATATAAATTATTAAATTTATATTTAAAAATCAAAAAATTAAATTAATTCTATTAAAAAAATGAATGGATAAGTATTTGCTTTAATTATTTTTGAGATGAATTGGATTTGGGCAAATGTATACCATATATGGTGGATTGAGAAGATGACAGGGGTAATCAACAAATGGGGACTCTACCCAACAAGGATACGTCACATTGATTGAGAAAATATTTAAATGGATTGATAGTTTCAGAGACGTCACAACCTTTGGTTTAGCCTCCATCAACTGTCGTTTTTTTTTTGGTACTGTTATATTCTTCATGTTTATTTTTCCATTTTTTAAGTGAAAAAAAGGTGGAATAATGATCTTGCTGGCTCCGACCAGCGAGAATCAAAGAATATTTTCATGTCATTCCATACACCTCTCCTTTTTTTTCTTTTTTGGGGAAATAGGTAATGGACATACACCCCTCCTTTTTTTTAAAAAACAAATTAAGGCAATTAGAGTATGTTAGAAGTGCACGTAAGGGGAGTACAATAATCACAAGTACTGATTTTACCATCAGGCTATCTAGGTGACTGGAACAAGAGAATATAATTTTATCAATCTAATCAATTTAGCTTAAGTTAAACTTAAAACTTGGTATTTTAAATTAAAAATTATGTTTTTGAGTTTTGCAATGAATAAGTAACTGTTTGGAAACGACTAATGAGAGTTATACTTTTCCTCTGGACCTCTGGTAACCTACTTTTTATGTTTAAAAAATTTTAATTTTGTTTAGTTAATTAGTAATATATGCATAATCTCGAGATAGATGCGGTTCAAAATCCAAATCAATTGCTCTCAATTATTTATGTGTGTCAGATTTAATAAGTACAAATAAAATAAATGGTGTTAGATGATTTGTGAGGTTTGGGAATGTCAACTTATACGAATAATCTTATGGGGTCTTTCAATTGGGAACATTTTTTGGAAAACTGCGTAAATTGGGGGGGCAGTGGATAGGCATTGGTTTATTTTTAGTTCTTGTGTTAAATTGTTTCTTATTTTCACTTCAGGACATGCAGCCCCACCAACCAACTGGAGCTTGCAATAGCATACAAGGGGTGCTTTGTTTCTTCCATAGGAAACTAGCTAGCCATTATCCACAAAGCATATGGGTTGTACTATTTTGGCTATTTTGTCTTTGATGAGAAACAAGTAAAAGTGATTGAATAGTTAATTCAATCAAATATTAATTATTAGATATCAACTATTTTTAAATAATTAATTAAAAAAAAGTACTTGCATGTTTCTTTTTGTATGAGATGATAGAACCAAATCCCGTAATTTGGGTGGCAACAAGTTTAGATAACTTACACATGCATTGCTTTGGCTTCCTTTGTTTTCCTTTTTCTTTTTGGCCTACTCCTCTGTTTTCTTATTCTCCATTGAATCAAACAGGAGTTTTCTAAATTCCTCACCAATCCTATTATTCCCAGGTACAGGCTTCATTTTTCACCCCCAGTACTCTAGAAGTTTCGATTTCTAATAATTGGACTGTTCCCTGGGGAAAAATATCTATCTCTCTGCATAATGTAGGTAGACATAATATATATGCCACAATCTTTGTCTTCGTTTAATATTGTTAGAGTTGATCTGTTTACGAGCGAGGTAGTGGAGGAATATATGGACAGGACATGCACAGCTACTGTCCCTTTGAAGAAGCAAATACCCTCGTAGTCGTAGCTCTTTTTATTCCTTAATCATCTAAACTAATCACTAGATTCTCCATCAAAAGTGCTTTAAATGTTCCCTGTTATATTTTAATGTGGACTAATTAATTAAACTAATCACCAGGTTTCAATTTTGATCTACAAACCATGTTCCGCAGCAAACCTCCAAATCCACCGTTCAAATAAAGAGATATGAATAAATCCACCCCTTAAAAAAATACAAGATAAATTATCCTCTAAATTATAAATAAAGATAAATCACTTATGTTTTAATGTGTGACATTAGAATTATATTTGTTATGTAAGCATTTTTTAACGAAAAACTGACATCATACATTACAAAATGAGTGATGTGTCTCAATTTCTAATTTAAAAAGATAATTTATCTCTATATTTTTTTGAAAAACGGATATATCCTTACCCCCTATTTGAGCAGTGGATTTGAGCCGAGGGTTCTGCCTTGCACTTAGTGCATGGAATGTATACATTACAGATTATATCCAATTCACAATGTAAACATATACAATATGATCCTCTAAATAGAGTTAAGTTTCCATATTAATTGTCCATAACCCTTTTAACTCATTGCGTTACCCAATAATAGAAGATTTTCTTGGCAATCTCTACATTTTCCTGCCCTAATTTTCTTTTGTGTTAAAAGGAATGTTAATTAAATCTAATAATTTGTTTAAAATGTAGGCCTAAATTACCCACTACCCTCCTTAAGGTCCTTCACATAGAAGCCTTTCATCTTCTTTACAAAAGAAGGAACTTTGAGATGGTATATTGTTGAGAAATTAAATTAATAGTTTAATACACCCTAAACCAAAAGCCTAATCTAAGGTTGAAAGAAAGTCTACCTAATAGAAGCAAATGTGATATTCCTACTCAATCCTGAGTTTCTAATTGCCATCCAATTAATTCACACAGAATATAAAGCATATTTGTACTAATAAAGAGAGATATCAATCAAAATCAACAATGTTTACATACAAAATTATTAATGTTCATCAAATTTTGAGTACTATATGTTCCTGTTTGGTGGTGCCCCAATAGATATATCATCATGCTTAGTAACATGGTCCTGCTGTTCCCGTCCAAAACCCCAATTACCAAATAATTAATGACATGAAAGCTCTAATGTCTTGGCATTTTGTGGACAAATTAGCATTTCTCAAGATATCAATTTTGTTGTTAATAAATGATTTTTGTAGTGATTTATATATGATTGTGAGTTTTTGGCATGCCATGTGAAGGATAATTAGATGAATGTCTATAAACTATGTATGAAGACATGATTAGTCTTTGAATTGCAAATATATAGGAATTATTCCTTCTTGAATTATTATATATTGGACTTGTTTTAATGTAACAAAACAAAGATAATAGAATATTTGGATGTTTATTACTTTATTACAATGGTGGATATGGAATGAAGAGACATTTATTTAGACGTCTAGTGTCTTAATTCACCACCAAAAATGAAACTAATTTGGGTTTTCTTGAAGATACATACAATCATTCAAGAAAACCAGAAACATTATTTTGATTTGTTAGCATCTTTGGTTGAATCACTGTTGGTGTCTTGTATCCTTGCTTAGACAATATTGTTCTGATTTGATTCGGTCGGTTTGTTGTTGATAACAAGTTTGTTATCCTTGATTTCTTGTTGATAAACACCCATTTCCATTGACCTCAGTTGAACATCTGCACCCTCCTTTGGTTGCATTGTTTTTGTCGCTACATCTTTGCTAACATTCTTGTATATGACGTATAGGGTCATTTGAGCTACTCCAAATGAAAACCCCAAGACATTTGGTGCCTGAACATACCCAATACACATAATGGATTGTGGGTTAGTTAAAATGTTACATAAGATGCAGAGGAGAGTGCAGATAAATGACAAAGGAAAGTTATGAATGGCTTACTGCAATAAATAAATCCCTGACAAAAAGTCCATAGAAGAACCACATGGTTGCACAAAGGGTGAGGAAAAAGGAGAGCGTAAATGGCATGTATTCCACACTTTTAGTCCTTATGACATTCCTCTGTGGTAATCCATAAGGAAAATGGTGTTACATATGGTAATAGGGAATTACAGAAATTTCATTGAAATGGGAGTTTTTTTTACCAACCATGACGCTCAGAGGAGCAGCAAAAACGCCAATGTTAAAAGCTGCACAGGTCCATCCAATGGCAGCTACACGCTTAGGACCATCTAAGAGTAAATTGATGAGTATCATCATTGAGGCATACGATCCTATGTTAAAGAAGAGTATCAACTTCATTGTAAAAATCTGCAGAAATGTACACAAGTTTTTATGTCAAAGGTTCAGAAACAAGAATTAAAGTTTAATTCAATATCATTTGTAACAGAAATTAACCTTCTGCCTCCTAGGTGCATAAATGATGTAGAATATGAGATAGGTGACTTCTATAGCACAACCAATGCTGTTAATGCTGATGATTAAAAATGCCCTTTCCTTGATAAAACCATAGTACAACAGCAACATTGCACTGCAAAGTGCAATTACATAAGGTAGAGATTGAAACCCTTCAGATGTTTTCTTCTTCCATATTGTATAGAAAGTTGGCCTGACAAAAACAGAGAGGATCATGTTAGCTGACCGCTGACATATCATAAATGAATTGTTGCATTTAATAGGTAATGTTCATATCCAAAAAGTGAGAATTACACAATCCAAAATCACTTACACCGGCGCCAGGAAAACCAAGAATGACACAATGTTACCTGTTCAAAACGCCAGATAAAAGTAACAATAGTTAAGAATGGAAACAGTTTAATGTTGTCTTAAAATTGAACATTTTGAAGAGCAGGCGAAAGTGCTAATACCCAAAAGACCAAACACAAAAGCAAGCTGATGAAGTGTTAAGAACCCCATTATTTGATGACAAGCTCTTCACAATTGGTAATCTTATTTTACAGTGATGATGAGTTCATTTCAACTCTCCTCAATGCCTTCATTTATATACGCATACATGAACAAGTTTGGTTTGTGATTTTGAGGTAACTTAGTCATCACCAGCTGGTATTTGATCTTCAAAAGAGAAAATACATGGCTGTAAATTTTTAGAGTTGGCTCAATGAAGAAGAATCAGGCCAGGTACGGTGGCTTTTAATGGGGTTTTCGCTTTCATGATTAAGAAGTAAATAGCTAAACTTGCCTAAGTGAATCAAAATCCCGAGTGAAGTAGGCATATATGCTTTTGCTGGCAATAACTTTGATTGGAAAAGATAAGGAAGGATAGTAGCCATTCCTTTTGGAAACTTTATGGCATTGCTTTCCTTTATTTTTTTCTGGTATGATAAAGTGCCAAAGCCACTTCTCAAGTAATGGTTTGGTCAGATTTCATTGTATTTTGATGGAACACTTCAATCCTCCTAGGTAAAGAATAAACAACCAAAGGCATGAAATTAGTAACACTGGATTATATACATACATAAGTAAGACTACTCCTATTAGGATTTGCTTGAAGATTCCGTCATTCAAGGAAACTTGAAACTCAATGGATAAATCAAATCACATAATCTTGATAGTTGATGCACATAACCTTCCATGTTTTTCTTATATAGATATGATTGTTTCTTCTATCCCCAGACCTGAAGAGTGTTTGTATAGAAGTGAAGTGAAAATTGGAATCAAATTGAATATAATGTTAAAATTATTTAAAAAATTACTCGATCACTGTTATTAACCTCTTGGTGATTAAGGGAAACTCTCTTAACACATATTTCTTCATTTACAAGATTCGAACTCGAAACCTTATTTAAAGAGAATCGAACCCTTTCATTCAAATCAACAGTTAGTTGGTGGGTATTTATTTATTTAAAATCAGATAATAAATTATATAATAAGGAATAACATTCCCCTACCTGTAATTTTTTTTTACTAAATCTTAAATATGAATTTAAGTTTTTTATCTTTAAGTTTTAAATTCATAATTACTTAAAAGATGCCTCTTGCGCCCAAAGCTGTGTATTTGTTACGGCATCTATCTTTCCAAGCAAATGTCAACATTTTAGTTCAGGCTCAATCAGCTAAAGGGATTTTTCTAATTTGATAACTCTCCACTATTTTGCAATCCTAATGGTTTGTCAGCAAAGGTGGAGAGTTATAGTTGTTCAAACATTACCTTGAAACTGCAAACGCTGATCTTTTTAAAAAATACCAAAAGTAGGAGTTTTTAAAAGTTCAAAAACAAATACTGAATTTGTCAATGGATTTTTTTTTTTTTTAATTTCTATCTAGATTTTAAAGTCTTGCATTTCAGTTTCCTTTTTATTTGTCTTTAGGCTAATGGGTTTTCTTTATTTCTAACAGGATTTGGTTTAGGCTAATGGGTTTTATTTATCTTTTAACTAGATCATAAGACATGCATTATTTGTGCTATTTAACTTCTTTTTAATTTATGACTTTATATTTTATTTAATATAATTATTGTATTTTATCGTATATAAATTTTTTTATCACTTGGCAATTATCTCAAATGATTGAACTTCATTCGGTCTAAAATTTTGTATTTTTATTTTTAATTTTTTTAAAATAAGATACGTGCTTAACCTTTACCCTAAATAATTTTGATCCTAAAAATCACATTATTTAGGTTATTTTATTAATTTGCTATTATGATATAATGTTGTATTTTAAAATTATTTTTCACAAATATTAGTTTAGATTCTCTAAAATTATCACTTTTGACCGAAGCAAGGGGTTGCATAGAAAAGTTAATATAAAGTGTCAAAAAAATGCAATAGAACAAGGAGAAAGAAACATGGTAAAGAATTCAATGGCTCATTAGTAGGTCTAGACAGAAAACAGACTTAAAAGTTTGGCATTAGCATAAAATATATAAATATTAAAAATTAGAAATAGCAGCTAGTAAATGAGAAAATAGAGATTTATTAGTGTCCCAAATAGACCATGATATTTCTAATGCCAAAGTCAACGCAAAGGTTGAGGATGGCCGGGTTTTCTAAGGCGCCAGCCCACATCTGCAATTTTTTTGAGTCTTAAAATTTTACTTCAGGAAGAGAATGAAGTTTTACAACAACAAACACATCAAATGCAGACTAGAATAGACCTGTAAACAGGCAAAGTATTATTAGGGGAATAGACCTGTAAACAGGCAAAGTATTATTAGGGGGCCAAGGGTGGTCTGCTTATTATTACAATTATTATCACTTTTTTATGGTAGTGATCTGCTTATTAAATCATTATTCCTTAAACACACTTAGTCATCCGTTAGAAAATTTTGAAGAGAGATGACTTTGCTGCTCTCTGATTTCCAAGCCAGTGCTGAACATGGACTCCAATGGCATCCAGATACATGCTGCTCCTACCATGGAAACCCACCACCTTCCCGTCTGTCATGGCTGACGTGAAGTACGTTCCAATTTCCTCACCAAATGGACCATATGTGCCTCTGCTTGTATAAAATGTCAATGACCTTACAACTTTAGTGTTCTCATCCTTAATGCAACCATAATAACCAGATATTCGAATGAGCACTTCATGAGGATAGTCCAGTTTCAGCTGCAAGTATAGATGAAGAAACATGTAGTCAAATGCTAGAAGGCCGGGCAAATTTGTTTAAAATTTAGTTGATTAGGAGATTGTTTTTTACCCTATGTATGGTGGTTCCTCCGTGACCTCCATGTTTTACAGACCAGACAGATTGCCCATTTCGATCATACTCAATCTGTATGGAGCAGATAGCTTCTGCTTTGGTAACAAATATCTGCTTGATTCCAGAGAAAACTCCATCATCCCATGATTTCCCTCCATCCCCACCCCAAGGACCAGGTCCACATGGCGCAGGTTCTTTCACCACCCCACAAGCAATCTTAAAGAAGTCCCTCAATGAAAATTTTCGTTAGTGAAGCAAAAATGTTGAATTTCAATACAAATTGAGAATGTCTAGTTAAGTAATTACCTCTTCATCCATTCCTTTCTTTGCTAGCACCAGTCTATTAGACCAGGGAGAGTTATCTATTTCAGCCAAGGGTTTCCCACTTTGAATAATGGCACTGGAAAGTGGTGGCTTCGGAGGTGGCACTTTCCCTTCGATGGCATAAACACCAATGGCATCCAGGAATAAACCCTCTCTACCATGGAAGCCAACAATCTTCCCTTCATTCATTTTGCTGGTAAAGCAGGGTCCTTGTTCTTCTCCAAATGGCCCATGCTTCCCTTTGTTAGTGTAAAAAGTAAGGGACTTGATAACATTAGGCCCCATGTACATCAAAGGGCCATAGGTTCCCGCCATGTGTGTCAAGATTTCTGATGGATAGTCAAAAACTATCTGCCAAAAAAATGCAGCAACAAGTGTAGTGCAAATAGTCAATGAGAAAATTCTCTCTAGAAAACCAGCATTCATCCCATGCATTTGGAAGGGAGGCACCAGATTGATTCACCTTATCATGTTTGAATCCTCCGGTCCCTCCATGTTTGCTGCTCCACACGGCTTGTCCATCGCGATCATAGCAAACCCTCATCGATACAATTCCAACATTGCGTGACAGATTGATCTGTCTTATGCCAGTGTAGGTTCCATCCTCAAAGGCAGTTCCACCCGTGCCACCCCATTGTCCAAATCTTAAGGTACCTTCTTCCAGCTTGAAGGGCAGCTTTTCAATGGCAGCGTTCTGAACCCGAAATAATATTAAACTCATAGGAAGAAATCATTCTTCTTTGGCATTTAAATAAACCTGGAGAAGAACTCAATATAGATCACTGTTAAAAAAAAACTTAATGTAGATCTCACACCTTCTCCTTGGTTTCTTCATCACTGGAGTCATCAGAACTTGAAGAAGAAGAACTCTGCTTAGAAACAATGCTTGGCTTGGGATTGCCACATGCATCTTTCTGTTTTACAGCAAGAAATATTTCATAGTCGTTGCCCACATTTCCGTGAATCACCGAGTACCCAACATTCTCAGTCTTGGTGGCAATGTAATTGTTGCTATGAACAAGAGACCCATCTTGGCCTCTCCATGACCCAGCAAGGACAGGCATCCTCCTGTATTGCTCAAGACTCTGGCAACATCATCTAGATCAGCATATAAATATTTATGAAGTTTGAGCTTTACCATAACCAAATAATGATTCATTAAAGAACCTTACCATTTCTCTGGCAATGATGAAAGACTCAGCGAAGGTACTGATGAGAAGAAAGAGTTAGAGCTGCGTGGATTTGCTGTGTTAATTGGCAAAGATGATCTGAATTTATGAGAAGAAAAAGGCATAAACTGAGTTCCTGACTTGAATTTTAGAGTATAGTTTTTGTACTGTGTGGAAAGAAGCTAATTCTGCTCTCCACTATGAAGGGCAAAAATTGAAAGGAAAAGAATCAGATCCATATCCACCAGAGTACTTTCTCCTGAAAAGGGCCCTCTCTTTTGCCAAGATAAGACTGTTGAATTCATTTGAGACTTGTACAATTTCACATTCTCATAATAATTTTCTTTGTTTCTAGTAGCTCTCTCAAGAAATTGAATTTACAATGGACGCAATCATTCAACTGGGGTCTTTACTCTGATTGAGGAATGAATATACCTTGTGGTGTCACACGTAATCTTGTCACCTGGTTGAAGAAACTTTTCAAAATTTTAACCTTCTAAAGCCTGCTTCCGGGATGAGGAGAGGAGCGCAAAACCTTCAACAGATTGGAGTCTTGTGATCATTGTTGATAGACTGAGAGATGCTCTAGAACCTTTTGAAAAACTAATTTGATAGCTAAAGTGGAGCAGGGAATCTTATTATCTCACCAAACAGCTGGTTCTCACCTTGCCTTTGAATTCCAAAGCAAATCAATAAACAGCCATGCTTTAGCACATAAAGGCAAAAATGGGAACAATTGAAAAAATAAATGCATTCACCATTTGAAGAACTAGAAGCAAGCATTGCAAGCACCATAGAAGAGACTTTTGGGGTTGGCAATTCATGACATCAATTTAAGTGGGGAATTATCACCTCATAGGGCAAAGGAGGAGGAGGGATATGGAAAGAAGCAAGGAAATATTCATCCTTCAAATACACAGAGGGAGAGGCTTTCAGGAAACTATGAATTTCTGATTTTTCAAAACAGGAAATAATAGGAAATGCTGGGCTGCCTAATTTACAAGGTCTGGAATTGTTTTTCAACCCCAATCTGTTTGCTGCTATTGTCAAGGAACAGAATTTTTTTTCCTTGTTTCTGTAATCAGCAACAGTGGAACAAACTTGGAGTGATGCAAATTCAAGCATTAATAAGATTAATGGCAACTGATGAAGAAATGAAAGCAGAGACAGGAAAATATAAAATGAAAGTTTCATCCTATATACTTTTTCCTGTATCTTCTCTATTGGTTAGTCCCAGTACCCTAAGCACAACCAATTATATAATGGCTTTCTAGAAACTATTTCCTTGATTTATCTTTTGAATCTTTTTAATAACTTTATTTACAATTTTTCTTCTGCAAATATTTTCATTCACTATTTCTTGGAGAAAAGTTATGCTAATCTTGGTATAAATTTCCACATAACTGAAGCTTAAAGCTAAATGCCAAGCCTTGGAGGTTTCCAGTCTTACCTGATCATGCATGCAGCAAAAGCTCTGGATATTTCTCTTCTAGAACATGAGCCATACTTGTACAAAGAGAAAATTATGAAACTAATTTGATCACAATTTTAGCTATCAGCTCAACAAAAACCTCATACCAAACTAGAGAGGGGCTTGGATCTAGTACAAGAATATCTTATTGCGGCAATTGCAATATGTAAGATAAATTGAAATCTCCATCGTAGCCAATTTGCCTGCAAGGTGATCAGCTTGTGGCTTCTTGAAAATCTGACACAGAACAAACAAAAAATAAAATAAAATTAGGAGATTGTTTCAATGCAAAGCCAAGAATCAAAAGTGCCATCCTCAGTTTGTTTCTTCACCTGTGTGCTCTTCTCATACAATAAAAGATTACCCCAGCCATCTTGTGAACTTATGTGCTTTCCTAGGAGATGATTCATGGAAATGATTTTTGGATTTTGCATATTTACTTCACCAATAATCACCACAAGAACAGTGGCCATTCTTAAAATGGTGAAAACTCTTTGTGTCATTCAGATATATTTCACATCCATATGCCATAGAGACGTATTTAGCAGTTTTATGGCAATCTCCACACATTCTCATGTTTTTCACAATTCTAATACTCTTACATTGAGAAGGTGAGCCAATGAGAGCAAAAGCTAATGCGAGTTTTTCACTGTGGACACCACCAATTTCTTCCTTCTCTTCTTCCTCAATGGAAAACCCATCATCATAATCATTTGTTTTCACTTTTTCAGCTGTAGTTTTCACCCATGAATACAAAACATCTGAGTATGGTCTAGACTGATCACCTGTCACAAATGTCTGCACCGTGTTTCCAACTTCAATCAAGCTCTCCCCAATGGGACCTTTTAATATGTTCAGTTTTTCAACCTTTCTCACTTCTGAAGTGTCCCCCAATATCCCACGCAATGCATATATCTGCAACATTAATCTTTTAATTAAAATATTCCCAGGTTCCAAGTCAAGCAAATGTTCCCCTGCTAGGACTGCCAACCCCATATTCCCATGTATCCTAGATGCAGTTAGCAAGGAAGTCCAAATGGAGAAGTCAGGTTCTATGGGCATGTCTTCAATAAACTTGATTGCTTCTCCTAGCCTACAAGAGCGGCCATATAGATCTATCATTGCCGAATAATGTTCTATGGCTGGTATAATTCCATAGTTTTCGGTGATAGCTGAGAAAACTTGTTTTCCCTCATCCACCATTCCAGCAAATCCATATGCCAGGATAATACTTGAGAAAGTACTTCTGTTTGGTTTAAATCCCAAGTCTCTCATCTGACTAACAAGACCAAGGGCAGTATCAGAACAACCATGTAAAACACAACCTCCTATCAATGAGTTCCAAGTGATTATATCTTGGGTTAACATTCTGTCAAATATGGTTCTTGAATAGTGTATACTACCTGATTTGGCATAAGTGTCAATTAGCGAATTTGTAACTGGTAACGTGTCTAGTTTTCTGCGCAACACACAACAATGGATCTCTTTCACCTTCTTTGCTGCAACTAGATTTGCACAAGCAGGTAAGACACTCAATATAGTTACTGAATTTGGCCTAAAGGAGTATGACTGCATTTGTCGCAGAATACCTAATGCCTTGTCTTTTTCTCCCAGTTGCACATAACCAGCAATAAGAGAGTTCCAAGATCCTGCATTTCGCTTAATTTTCCCTTCTTTTTCCATCCGTTGGAAGAGATCCATGGCTTGATCTTCGTCCCCATTTTTTATGTACCCAAAGATCATTGCATTCCATGTGATGACATTAGGTTTTACATCCGAGTCTAGCATTTTCATGAAGAGCTCATAGGCTTTACCACAGTAACCTGCTTGGGAATATCCTCCAATCATTGAATTCCAAGTAAACTCATCTTTCTCTTTGAGTCTGTCAAAAACTTTCCTAGCAGCTTCTATTTCCCCATACCTAGAATACATGCCTGTGAGGGAATTTCCAACCACAACCTCATTGAAGATACCCATCTTAACAGCAAGAGAATGAATTTCCAACCCAATGTTTAATCCTCCCAAAGATGTACAAGCAGAAATTGCACTTGCAATTGTAATGCCATTTGGCCTCACCCCTGCTAAAATCATCTCTTTAAAAAAATTCAATGATTGATCTGTCCTACCATTTTGTGCAAGCCCCGAGATCATAGAAGTCCAAGTGAAAACATCAGGTGTTATCCCAAAATTCTCCATCTCCTTCATCAACCCCATCGCAACACCGCATTGCCCTAACTGATTATAAGTACCAATCAATATATTCCATGAAACCACACCTGGTTTAGTTCCTTTTTCCCACATTGCATTAAACAATCTATGGGCCTCCTTAGAGTCCCCCTTTTGACAATATCCCGAGATCATAGTGTTCCAAGCTACCGTATCTCTATCATCCATGCCCTCAAAAAACCTGCTTGCTAATGCCAATCTCCCACACTTTGCATAAACAGCTAAAATCGAATTACTAACACGAGTACAACAAACCATTCCCAATCTAATCACCAAAGAATGTATCAATTTCCCAGCCTTAACATCCCCACAATTGGCACAAGCTTCCAAAATCTTGGGAAACAGAAAATCATCAGGCACCATACAATCATTCATCATCAAAAAGAAAAGCTCCACAACCTCCCTCCACTTCTGCCCCCTGGAGCACGCCCCAATCATCGCCGACCATGTGTACAAATTTCTTTCCTGCATTTTATCAAAAACCTCACGTGCATCAAGTAAAGACCCGCACTTTGCATACATGCTGAGAAGTTTGGTCTCAACAAACGGATCTTTAACCTCAACCAAATCAATTCGGGCATGAAGCTGTCGACCCAGGTCGATAGAACCATAATCAATGCAAGACTGAAGTAAACTGATGAAGGTGTTGGCTCTTACCTTGGACCCACTTTGCGCAATGGAGTCCAGAGCTCTTATACTCTCGCTAAGGCGTCCGTTTCTGCAGAGGTAGTTCAAATGGGTGTCTGGGGTTTTTGGGTTGAGATTTTTGCTGTAATTGACAGTAGATTTTGTGGGTTTCTCCGAGAATGGAGACAGAGATTCTTGCTTGGATGGGATTATTACAGGAGGTCTTGAAACTGATGACGGTATCATCAGATTCTCCATGGCTTTGGGTGTTGGAGAAGAACGGTCTTAACGGATAGAATGAAAATTTTGCAGTGGTGGTGGTGGAAGTGGAAGACCGAGCTGGTGGGATACCCTGTTGCCGATTATTTGCTATTTTTAACAGTGGCCAATGGAATCCTGACACGTAGTCTTTCTGATACTGATATTGCTCGTTTTCATTCGCAAAATAATTTGTAACGAATAGAGAATTGCCACGTAATAAAATCAGGTGCATAGAATGGCGGCATGGGACAGATCGCAGCCTGCCGAGACAAAGGCCCAAGCCCAACCCACTATGCAAT